TTTGGCCACATCGTAAATATTGATTGTGGAACTGACTCGTTCCAATCTAATTTGCATTTCCACAGCTCCTGTATGATTAATTTTGCTAAAATTATGACTGGTCCTAGCGAACCTAAAGGATCAAAAAGTTGTGAGACTTCCGCTAGTATTGTACGTTTTGTAACATTGGCTTGATTAGAAGAATTAAATGATATAGAATAAGTAATATTGTCATTGTCCTGATCCCAATATACACCTAGCGTTTTTTTACTAGAAGACGAATACCGTCCATTATTGATATCGCGTGTTGTATTCATTTGAAAATGCAGCTCACATGAGTTTTCTTCTTCAGATAAATGTTTATCGGAATTGCACTCTTCTAACTGCCAAAATTTCTCTAATTGCATTTGAATTGGTGAGGTTACAGAATGGCAATAAGTACCACTCACAGGGTGTGTATTTACCCTACCAGAAACGAGCCAACCTAATTTAGTTTTTTGTAAAATTGTTGTTTTATTGGGTAATCTTATTTGCCCTACACAAAATAATTTGTAAAATACATATTCACCTAACAAGAGATCAATTTCAGACGGTTTATGAAACTCTGGATCGGCTAAAGTTATATTTTTTGGAATTTTTAAACCTTTTCTGTCAACTTGCCTAGAAGGTAACTTTGCCGTGATAATTGGTAGTACCAGCAGTGTAACCTTTTCTTTGAAACTATCATTTCTAGCCTTAATAGATGTTTCAACGGAGTGCTTAACAATGCTTCGAGATTGTCCTAAACCTAAAGCTGGCAAATTTATGTTTTGCTTGGATTGATTTGCTAATTTTTCAGTTATAATATTTGACTGTGAACCAGCATTTAATAAAACCCTACATTCGTGTGGTTGATTTTGCGCGTCTAAAATAATAATGCGAGCTGTCGATAATAAAACCTCATTTGCCTGCTGTAGGTTCGTCAGAGTTATCAATTGTTATGTTTGAAGTTACTTGAGCTACCTTAGTAGATGTACTGGGTAAATTAAGAAGGGTATTGTGTCTACCTTGGCATTTCCTACAGGAACTGGATTTACACGAAAAGGTTTTGTGACCTGGTTTTAAACAGTTTATGCAAAGATTTGATCTTTTCGCTGATTCTATTCTTTCTTGAGTATTTAATTTTAAGAATGTGTCGCAGTTATATATATTATCATTTTTAGAACAAATTGAGCAAGAATTATTTACTTGAGTTGTGTTGTACGAATGCATGTTTCGTTTGTTAGTGTGATGCTGAGAATTATACTTGTTAGATGGAGATTGATTACTTTTTACGTTATTAATTACTTTTTTGAATAAGGGGACCGGCTCTGTATCACGAGAAATTTTGTTTAAAAATAATAAAAAACTTGAAAATATTGGTCTCTGATCTTCTTCAATAGAACGTTCCCATAATGTGCGTGTTTGTTTATCTAATTTAGCCGAAACAATATATATTAACATTTCATGCCATTCAACATCCTCGTTAGAGGACGTGATACGTCGATTGATGATATTCTCATGAACCTATCTTGACGCGTGACTGAGTTATGATGCACCAAAAAGACTCGACGAATCCCATAATGTGCGTGTTTGTTTATCTAATTTAGCCGAAACTATATATATTAACATTTCATGCCATTCAACCGGTTGTTCTAAAGCCTTTAGTGCATTAACGTACATTTCAGCCTGTTCTGATAAAGATCGTAGCGCAGCGTAAGAAGAATCCTTAGAAATTTCAGGCAATTCAAAAAGAGCGCGAAGATTACTGCAAATTATTTTTCGTGGATTGTTAAACCTTTTTTTAAGAAGTTTCCATGCAATTAAATAATTATCTTCAGATGCGTTAAGGGAGTTTACTACTGCAGCATCATCGCCTATTAGGTATGATTTTAAAAGGTGAAATTTATGTACAACCGGAATTGAATCACGATCATGAATCAAAGATTTGAATGTATCGTAAAAACTATGCCACTCAATGAAATCACCATTAAATTGTTTAATGTTTATTTTTGGAAGGATGGATTGCGATGAAAACGTATTTTGGCTAGTAGTTTCAGGACTATTTGCAATTGTACGATTTTGCCCAGTAAGGTTTAAATGATGAATTTGTTTTGCTATAGTAACTGAACATTCAAAATGAGGATTTTCTACCTCCTCTCTCTCGTTTTCATGATCTACGGCTTCGTCTAAACATTCTATTTGATTTTGAATTTCACACCACTCTATGCTTCTTCTAGTCTACCTTTACGGTTTTCTAACACAAAAAAATCTAAGCTTTCATGAGAATGTATATATGTATGAATGCGGGTAATTTGTCCCTTTTTAACACCACGTTGTTTGATAAGAACTTTAACTGATTCAGATGCCATTGTTAAGTACTATGTAAAGTATAAAATAAAGTATAAACAGAGGCTTGCAAGGAAATAAAAAATTGGAAAAGGATAGCGAATCAAAGTACTTACTTGAGTTCCTCGTTGAAAGTGGACGAATTTTGGTAATGGAATAGGACCTCTGATCCGTTGATTAAAATTGTACAATCGGCTGCGTCGAGGTATGCGATATTCAGACGATGAAAGTTGAGAAATTTACTGTTCCGCTGGCTGCTACTGATGTCCAAAACGGCTGCTTCGTAAAATTTCACTTGTATCGATGTAAAAAACCACTGATCCGGCTCGAATAAAAAATGTACAAACGATGTACGTTGCACGCCAAATTAATTTTATGCAACTAGTTAAATTGGATCGTGATTTCGATGAAGAATAAAAATTCACTGTTTTATTTGAAACATTTAATTGAACTTCTATTCTAATCACTAAAAACTAAACTTCAACGTCTAAATTAAAACTATCAAAATTCGTCCGACTATGGAAACTATTTTTGGGTGGTTACTGGAACAAAACTTACTTGTTTGAGAGATGAAATGTGAATGTCTAATTCTTAATGTACTATGAACTCTAACTATGAACAGGTAAACTGGTGAATATTATTGTAGCGGGGGCGAATAACTAGAAATTGAATATAATATAATACAGAATATGGAAAGCCCTATCATTAAATATGAGCACAATCGTCATACAACATTTCTTTCCAGTTTATAAGGGTTCTACGAATACCCAGGTAAAATGTAAATTGGTCCTGTTGTCACTAACTTAGACACTATTCAAAATTACAAATATGAATTTAAATTAAAAATATTTCATGTACACAAAAAAGAGAAAAACTTAGGACTTAACAATCGCAAAAAACGGTGTTGTACAGATTCGAGTTTTATGGATGACGTAATTCCATAAGGGGACCAAACGACACTGCCATATTCGAGGTGAGGGCGCACCATAGAATTAAACAAAGTTACAAAAGAATCTACATCTTCATCATTTTGCAATTTCGCCTCAACAAACCCCACATTTGATATGCTGTACAAAACGCGCATTGTCCTATCCAGTGCTTCCACAGACGTCTTGTTCGACATGGTAGCTTCGTCCAAGACTATTAATGAGCAGTCACGCATCAATTTTTCTGTATTGCTCTGTTTAGAAACACTACAGACGCTGTTATTATCATCGGTGGCGATTTTCACCGGGAGCTTGAATGTAGAGTGTCAGTGTTTTCGCGAAATCATCTTGAGCACATAACTTGAGGAATGCTGTCCATGTTGTGTCGCGCGGGTTATAAACGATTTCTTGTATATTGTTACCAGTGAAATATACTCTATGTCCATTTTTTCTAAATGAACTGCAAGGTGGACAATAGTGGGAGCCCGGTCGTGCACTTTGAATGATAAAATCCTCCATACTGCTTTAGAGCTGCAGATGTAACGTCCAGACTGATATTTTTCCACTTCATTTGATGATTGTATGCTGAAAGTGGCTTGATCGCTACCTTTATTAATGTATTTACTAACATATTGGATTGACTTTATTGAACTGCACAACTCTACGTTAATGTGGGCATCAAAAATTTTCAAAAGCAGCGGATTATAGGTAACGATCCATCGGTCATCAATATCATGATTTCGGACGGTGACACTTTTCCCACCCTGTTCTGGCGATCGTCGACGATATTTGGAATATCCGTCATCGCTAGTAGATGTTTGAGTTTGGAACGACTTCGGAAATGTTTTTCTGCATTTGGAATCTCGGATACATGCAGAATTAGGGTTTAAAATCCCGCAAGGGCCGTGTACCATGTGTTTCTTACGATGTCGAACAGGACAGTATCTTCTTCTTTAACCGGTATTTTAGCTGAAATAACACTGTCAATTTGATTTGATCTAATTTTGTTCACTAACCACACCAGCAGATGTACATGTGGCAAACCACGTTTCTGCCATTTTATAGTGTACATATGGTAGCGCGGCGGACCGAATATATGAGACTTGTTAATGAGGTGCAGGTACACCTGTACTTTTAAATGGAAGACTGTGTTAACTATATCGTATCTGTCTTGTGGAGTTAAATTGGAGTTAATATTTTCTTTAATTTCTGGCCAATTTAGGTTACATGTTGCAGTTATAAATAAATCGGGTTTACCGTAATGTCTGACATAAGCCATTGCGTCCTGCAATTTTTCATGTAAATATCGAGGCCCACCTGTGAATGATGAAGGTAGTATTTAGTCCAATGTCGTTGATGTGTTCATTCGCCTGTAAAGCATCCTGAAGGTGGACGTAATTTTCTGCTCTCAATTTAGTTTGATTATTACGGATGTAGACCAATCTTTCAGATTCTATTTTCTCATATTGATCGACCAAGTATTGGTTTGTTAACATTCCATATTTAAGCAAAGGGTTGAAATTGTTACGTCGTGTCATTTTACAGTAACAATAGTAGCTCATACATGACACTGTTTTACGCAGAGGAGCGCTTTCGGCTTCTTCCTCGGCACCTGCGTCGTCTTTTTCGCCTTCGACGGCGACTTGGGAGAGCTGCGGCGGCGGTAGCCGCCGACGTGTTCTTTTCGCTCACCCCGACAGCCTTCTTGCTCTTGGGCAGCGCCGACTGTCATTGCTCCCTTCTTCGCAGACGCGTCGACGGCGGAGACCTTCTTCGTGTTGGTGCCGCCGCCAGCCTTCTTGGCGACCGTTGTTGCGCTTCGCCCCTTCTACGGAGTCGCTTTCTTGGAGGCCTCGCCCTTGGCAGCGGCAGAATCGCCGGGCGCCATCGTCTCGAATGCGGCGGACGCGGCAGCGCGGTGGCGAGACCGACGAGCTTGAACGAGCCGGGAGCGCCTTTCAAGTACTTCTTGATGAACGGCGAGAGCCTCGCCGTGTCGACCTTGTAATTGGCACTCACGTACTTCTTGATGGCCTGCAGCGACGACCCTCCGCGCTCCTTCAGGCACTTTATGGCGTTGTTCACCATTTCAGGCGTGGGCGGGTGCGACGGCTTGACCCTAGGAGCCTTCGCGTGCCGCCGCCGCCGTTCGCCTTCTTCGAACCGGGCGTCGCGGCGGCGGGCGACCCTGTCTCGGTCGACATGATGATTCGACGACTATTGCGATTACTTGTACTGGCGGTAGATTGCTCAGTAGCTAGGTATCTCAATTTGCGAACGTCGTACTGCTCTCTGCTTTTTTCTTTTCTGCCACTATTGGTTTTTTATTAATTCGTTCAATGAATTTGTCAATGTATCATTTGAATTTGTTGGTTTGTTTTACGTCGTTTTTGCGGCGAAGCTTCTATAAATTCTTATCCTGATTATTACTTTCGGTAGCCACCATAACCTCCACCGTAACATCAAGCTCACGTTCCTCTTCCATTTCACCATCTTCATTTAATTAGGCTGTGATTGAGACAATTTTGTCCATGTTCTACAAAAAAAAAATCAAACTAGGTAGTTTGTTTTATTACTTCAGATAATTGTTGTGTAAATTTTACGACTGAATGTTTTCAAGCAAATAAAACCATAAATAATTATTTATAAAATACTTACTCGCTTTCTGTTATTTGTGGCTTCAAAAATTGCATTGTCTTCATACCGCCATTTTTTGATATTTTTGACTTTTTTGTCGCTTTTTGTTTCCCGTCATTGTCGCGGCTTTCGGTAATAGCTTCTTTGAAGCGTCCATTTATTTTTACAAATTTATGCTGTAATAGTATACATACGTTAACAGAATATTACAAACTAATGGATATTTCATTTCTATTACTTAGGATCCGTATTTATTGCATTATCTTGATTTCCATATATTATACTTTATTACATTGTTATTGTAATATTTATGTTCTAACTCCTACTTCTAACTTCTTCGACACTCGTGTTACTGCACCAACAATATTAATTTTTCTTCATCCATAAATACCCTTCTACTACAAAATATCACTCACAATAAAAAAACTTTTACAACCTTCTCAACCGGCGCTGTGTCTGTTGATAAAGGATATTTATCAGTTTTTTAATAAACCCCACACAGCTTCATATAGGTTCGTTACTTTCTCAAGTCAACAATAGTAAAGCGTTTCTTAGAAGTACTTCAATGACCAGTGCGAAGTGTATACATATATTGTTCAAGTTAAACTTTAGTTAGAAAATACGCACATATACCCTTTGTTCATAGAGGAAGTTCGGAAATCACATACGGGATGAAGAATGTCAATTGGTGTATACAATTTTACTTTAATTAGTTAACCTACATAACAAAACTTTATAATATAGTAGTAGTAGTATACAGTAGTGATGTTCCGACTAGCCGAGAAAGCCGACTATCCGGCCAGTTTCGTAGTCAGCGACTATTCGGCAAACATCGCCGACTATCCCGCTTCTTACTTTGTATGTATTTCCCAATAGAGTGTATATAGGAGGAATTACACAAAATAAATACTTTGATTGTTTTTTTTTAACTCCATGTTTATTTATACAATCTGTCTTTAGGACAATAAGTACAATTTATAGTAATATTTACATAGCAACGAGAAAGACATAAAATTGAATGCTGACCAACGTAAGCATCCAATTTGATTACAAATTATTAAACATCAAAAGACTAAATTCAAAATATTACATGTAGATAGTTTGCATTTATCGTATTTGAAATATTTCAAATATTATGGTTGTTCAATCGAGTAGCACTTAAAGTTGTCGTTGATGAGATTTTTTGCTAACGGATCAGGATGAGTTAATAGTCTATTGTTGTATTTAATGATGTTCTTTTTTAATGACTATGTTAACCGTATGTAATCCGAGGCACTTGCAGATAATTTCATTGCCAACATACCAGGGAGCATGAAGTAAGCAGCGAAGAGTCTCTGATTGAAACCTTTCAAAAATATTGATGTTAGATTTTGAGGGTGTACAACAGATTTGTATTCCGTACATCCATACAGGTTTAATCACTGAGCGGTAGAGTTGGACATTGTTATCCAGGGTTAATTCTGATTTCCTGCCCAGTAACCAGTACATTTTTCGTATCTCAAGGCCAAGCTGTTTCCTTTTCGTCCATATGTGCTCTTTCCAAGTAAAGCGGCAGTCGAGTTGAATACAAAGGTATTTCACATGGTTTCTTTGGGAATTTCAATCTCTCCGTAGAAAATGGGAGGGCCTGTATCACGACGCAGAGTACCAGTCCTTGATAGAGTTTAAACGCTCTTGTATTACTTTTGAGACCTCGCTGGGTATTGCGTGTACAGCTATTATCGCAGTGTCATCAGCAAACGTAACATAGCAGTGGTAATTCTGGGAGCGGTGGGGATATCTGCAGTATACCAGTATACAGAAGGTACAGTGCTGGAGCTAGAACACTGCCTTGCGGAACTCCTGCTTCAATTGGAGTGAGTTATGAGAAAACATTTCGTACCTTATCTTGGAAATAGCGATCCGTTTCTCCAGCAGCAAGGCTAGCCTCCAAGAAGAAGCTTGGAGCCAGTAAAAGTTGATGCCATTGGTGACAGCAAAGTCGATAAGATCTGGAGTTTTGTTTGGGTCCGACGGCCAGTATGTGGGTTCTCCGGTTGAGATAATTGAATAATTATTAGCTTTGATGGACAAGTTTTTACCTTCGGGATTTGGCGTGGTCGATCTTGAACCCCACCATTGGTATTTGGCGTTGTAATCTCCTCCTGCCAGAAATCGTGGTCCCAGTTATTTAAAAAAATTGTTAAAATTTACTTGAGGAATATTGAATTTTGGAGGGCAGTAAGCAGCGGAAACTATTAGTGGGCCGTTTGTATCGCTGACTGTGTTTGAGTGTAAATAATCCTTTGAAAATTTCTCATTTTTGTAGTGTTCAAGTTCAGATTTGATGATAACAGCAGTTTCACCGTAAGCTTTCTTATCTGGATGATTGGTATTATAAACGGAGTATTTGGGAATTTTTAAATAGTTTTTATCGGTAAAGTGGGTTTCCGAAATCAACATGATATCTATGTTATTAGGCATAAGAAAAGGCTTTAGCTCCAAATGTCTTTGGGCTAGTCCGTTCGCGTTCCAGATCGCAATATTTAAAGGCATTTAATCTATTTTATTTTTGCTATAAGAGCCGTGATAAGATTTAGCATTTAGTTTGTTTGATAATATTTCGTTTGAGTTTAAAGCGTCGTCTATGCTAATATATGAGCTGCTGGTGTTTGTGTTTTGGGCGTTGTTTACGTTGGATTCATGGTTCTCGCGAGGCTGCCCCTGGTCGCTTGAACATAAGATATTCCCGGTGTAGTTGAATGTACGGTATAACTTACTTGCTTTGAAATAACAGTTGGTTCTGCTCCTTTGTGCCTGAGTTTTTTGTTGTACGGTGTTGTATGCAGTACAGCCCTTGTGGCTGGCTGGGTGGTTACCTTCGCAGTTTGCGCATTTTAAGCTGTCTTTCGTTGCACCTGATTTGATGTGACAGACTTTGGTCGGGTGGGATCCAGAGCATTTGACACACACAGCCTTTTTCTTGCAGTAATTTTTTGTGTGCCCGAATTCTTGGCAATTGAAGCACTGAACTATTTCCCTCCTCTTATGAGGCGGCTCGAAAGTTACTACCGTATTTAGTAGTCTGTTGACGTTGTACATGGTCTTATTATTTTCGTTTAGTTTAATTTCAACAAAAAAGAGGGGGTACGGCATTTTGGTTTCTCGCTGGTGAATATTTGAAATCCTGGTCACTGTGTGTTCTTTTATTGCCGATTTCAAGTCATTCGTATCCACGGACGGGTGCAGGTTTTTGAGGACAACTTTAAAATTTTTGTTTTGTTTTAGTTGGTACGTAAAAAATTCAGTCTTTCTTTTCTTTAGTTCTTCCACTAATAGTATGTATTTTTGCGGAGAAAAAAGTTGCCCTTTCACTTGGTTGTTAGCCAACGACTTGAGAGAGTAATTGTCACGGTCTATTGTATTCAGCAATTTTTGTAGCGGTCCGATGTCCTCTACTCCACTGACAAAAATGGGAGGGGGCTTCTTAACATCTTGAAGATCTTCAATCTTGTCGGAATTGGGATCGTTATCGCTTACATTTGTTCCCTGTAGAGCACTGAACTTATTAGTATCGACGAATGGTTTGTTTAGCCAGTAATCTGTTACTTTCACTTGTTTTTTTGTAATATCGCCTCGAGCCTGTTAGGAATAAGCCGCGAGTATAGAAACACTGAGGGCGGGGGAAACGCCCGTTCGCCTCAGAGGATCAAAGCAGATTGATTGTTAATTATCATTTTTATTTTAGATATATTGTCTTATCTTCATCAATAAACATTGATACATATTCTTATTTAAATTTAAAGAGTAGGAATTTTTGTAATTAACACACTTGAATTTGCGACTGGGAGGAATCGTCTGTGATCGAGCATTTGTTCATAGAACCTAACTGCTGCATTGGTGTAAAGCACGAGAAAGTGCACATGTGCCGGCAAGCATACGAGTTATGGAAATGTATCGATTCGCGTACCCGCGCCGAATATAGAACCATATAAGGAAAGGTGCGTCAGTACTGAGGCGGCAGCTTGTAGGGAAGGATCATTCTAGTTTTGATATATGTTCCTTAATTTTCATTATTGTCGTCGTATATTTCTTTTCTGTTTTGTTCTTTTTTTTGTTTACTTTTGTTTGTGCATTTAATACAAAAGTTACTTTTAACAATACGCATCTGTGTCTTTCACTGAAGTCTAATTCCTCGGCCACCCCTTGATAAAACATCTGGCGACCGTGACAGGACTTGGGATTAGTACGATCAACGAAAGGGAAAGCGTATTATTTGGAATATCATGACTGATAAGAAAGACGTAGAACAGATGAAGCAGAAAAGAAAATATTTGCGTATAACGTTTACTAGAGCCGTAACTACCGCAATGGAGAAGTTGGACAACGATCAGTCCAATGAAGCCGATTTTACAAAAGCTTACAAATTAGTAGAGAGTAAGCATATAGAGATGGATGAGCTCACGAATACC